TTATTGTAGAGATGAGGTCTCGCTGCCCAGGCGGGTCTCGAACCCGCGGGCTCAGGCAATCCACTCACCTCAGCCTCCCAAAGGCGCGGGATTACAGGCCGAGCCATCGAGCCCGGCTGGGTTTTTTTTTTTTTTTAAGAGTTGGAGTCTCATTCGATTACCCAGGCTGGAATGCAGTGGCACACTTACAGCCACCCCAGCGTCGACCTGCTGGGCTCCAGCCATCCTTCCGCCTCAGCCTTCCAAGTAGCTGGAAGTACAGGCATGTGCTACTACACCAGGCTACTTTTTGATTTATTGTAGAGCTGAGGTCTCCCCAGGGTGCTGGGACTGGTCTCGAACCCGCGGGCTCAGGCAATCCATTTGCCTCAGCCTCCCAAAGTTCTGGGATTTCTGAGCCACCAAGCCTGGCCTAGTTTTGCACAGGCATAGTATCTAGAGTAGTTTTGTGAAACTTTATGTTAAAAAGTATCTTATTGAGTGGTTCAGGTCACTATGTAAGTCAGAACCAGTTCTCTTAACTCTCTCATCTTGGGTCAAATTAAGAACTCAGCTCCTGGCCACATGGTTAATGTGGTACTTACATATTTATTTTTATTTCAGGAACTGTTGACATTTTGGGATGTGGCCATAGAATTCTCTCCAGAGGAGTGGGAATGCCTGGACCCTGTTCAGCGGAATTTGTATAGAGATGTAATGTTAGAGAACTACAGAAACCTGGCCTCTCTGGGTGAGAATAACTTGCTGTGCATAAATATCTAAAACAACCTAGTGTTTTATCTCCATCCTTTGCAGAATGTCTCTTGGGAGCTTGTGCTTTGTATGAGTGAGTGCTTTCAGGAGGAAAATGGGGGATTAGCTTATGTAAAAAAAAAAAAAAATCTTAATGTTTGATCTTGAACATTTACCTTTTTTGAGGTGATATGCAAGCTTCTCTATGGAGTACAGGTGAGTCTAGAAATTCAGTGGTATAAATTATTGTTGCTTTCTCAAAATTCAGTCCCAACCTCTTATTTTTGATTGAGTCATACTTGAAAACAAGGCTCAGGATGAACAAATTTAAAGTGCTTTCTTTTTTTGTTGTTGCTTTTGAGTTAGAATCTCAATCTGTTGCCCAGGCTAGAGTGCAGTGGCACACTCACAACCATTCCAGCATCGACTTGCTGGGATTCCAAGATCCTTCCGCCTCAGCCTTCCAAGTAGTCGGAACTGCAGGTGTATGCTATCACGCCCACCTAATTTTGGATTTATTGTAGAGAGGAGGTCTCACCAAGTTGCCTGGGATGGTCTCGAACCCGCGGACTCAGGCAGTCCATTCGCCTCGGCCTCCCAAAACGCTGGGATTACAGGCTGAGCCACTGAGCCCAGCCTTAAAGTACTTTCTAATTTTTTTTTTTTTTT